AGGTCCTTTCCAACCCAAATCATCCTGCGAATGTGTGATCATTTCACAGTCTAGCTGCCTGATGCTGATATGGTGTCAGGCAGTGAGAGATTGGGCTCACAGCAGGTCGGGTCTGTTAGGGGTGTGGTAGATAATGGAGGTGCTGAGTGAAGCTTCTGCTGAAACTCACCTCAATTCTCCTAAGCATGAGTAGCTGAGAAGACCACGGCCAGACCTGTGTTTGTCCCAGGAGAGGCCAGGGCAATATTTACTAGAAAAAAGTAGAACAGGCTGCTGAAGAATTTCAGGTATTTCTCTCCTGGGAGCTGAGTGCTGCTCTTGTGTGAGCCAGCAGCTCCCTTTGCTGACATTCCCCAGGTCTCTGGTTTTGCACCAGATGAAGCTAAAACGAATTGGCTTCTGCTGCTGTGGGAGGTTGTTTTTCTAACCTTGTAGGTGTTCCTTTTTTTAGGCTTCATGAGAGTGCAGAAGAAGAGCCACACATCCTGCTGGAGTGCGACAGCGGCGTGCTGGAGGCCTTACAGAGACATCTGAAACTGTACAAGATCCGGAGGAAAGTAAACATCACCCCCTGCCCTGACCTCTCCTTGTGGGCCGTGCTCCCAGGGGAGAGGGCTGGAGACGTGGCCAGTTCCATCCCTCACTGTGCAGACCAGGCTCTGGTCCTGACCCCCGACCCCAGAACAGAAGTCATGGGCTGGAGACTGATAACCAAGAAAGGAGCAAACCTGTCAGAGATTATCCCTGGGAGTCATATTGGGAATATTCAGGATTACCACAGGCACAGGTATAAACAAGGTAAAGCCAAGTCCTGTTTTGAACTCTGAGCCAATGGAATTTGGGGAATTTGTTTTATAGAATCAGAGTATCATTGAGTTTTGAAAAGATCTTTAAGATCATCAAGTCCAACTGTCAACCCAAGACTCCCATGACCACTAAACCATGTAATGAAGTGCCAGGTTCACACATTTTTTGAACCCCTCCAGGGGTGAGGACTCCAGCACCTCCCTGGGCAGCCTGGGCCAAGGCCTCACCACTCTGCCAGGAGAGAAATTCTGCCTCAGATCCAATCAAACCTCCCCTGGGGCAACTTCAGCTCATCTCCTCTTGTCCTATCACTTCTTCCTTGGGAGAAGAGCCCAACCCCACCTCACTGCAATGTGTTATTGATGTGTTACCACAGTTTCATCTCATTATCAGAGTCCATATGAGAGGAACAGATTCTAAAAGCTGCATTGGTGTGTCTCAGTTTGTTTAATTTGCTTAACTAGCATATCATTAATATGTAGTATATAATATTATGTGCTGCTTGAAGGATAAAAATGATCTGGCAGTTAGAATTCCAGTGGCAGAATCAATATTTGGGTAGTTTCCTGTTAATGAGGTTATGGGGTGGGGGGTCAGGAGTGCTAACAGCAAAAGAAACCCAGGATTGTTCATTTTTTTTTAGAGGGAAACTTGAGTGTTTTGAGTCCTTTTGGGATTCTGCCCAGTCTGTGCGTTTTCCTTGTTGCTGAGGAAGGAAGAGGAAACACCCTGACTTCCTCTCCTAAAAATGGGTGATTGGAGTTGCAGAGTTAACCCCGAGGTCAAGGGGTGGGTGGTTGGTCTGAGGAGGGAACCTTTGAACCCCCAGTGCCTGCAAAAAGCTCGTGTTAAGTGTCCACACAGAGAGTGGATTAAATTAATCCACTGGCAGACTGAAAGATGAGGGTCCTCTGCTTCAACCTGAGTCCATCCTGTTCAGAAGAGTGAGCTGTTAATGGGTCAGACTGGGCTGGACTGGTCAGACTTGGGGGGGAGGGTGTGGGTGAGAAGGGTTTTACATGATGTTGATGCCTTTGTGTAGGAGTCTGCATCATGTAGAGCACAGGTCTGGGGAGGAGCAGCTGAGGGAGCTGGGGGTGCTGAGCCTGGAGCAAAGGAGGCTCAGGGGAGCCCTTCTGGCTCTGCACAGCTCCGGACAGGAGCCTGGAGCCAGGGGGGGGGTCGGGCTCTGCTCCCAGGGAACAAGGGACAGGACAAGAGGAAACAGCCTCAAGTTGCCCCAGGGGAGGTTGAGGTTGTCCCTGAGGAACAATTTCTTGCCCTGGAGGGTTGTCCAGGGCTGTGCCAGGCTGCCCAGGGCAGTGGTGGAGTCCCCACCCCTGGAGGGGTTCCCAAGCTGTGGAGATGTGGGGTGAGGGACACGGGGCAGTGCTGGGGGAACAGTTGGACTCAGTGATCAGAAAGGTCTCTTCCAACCAGAACAATTCTCTGATTCTCTGACCATTGTGTGTGCTGTGAATTTCCACTGTGAGGTGCCGCGAGCCTCACCAAATCAGGTTCCAGTGCAGTTCTCTGCTCACTCTTAAGGGGAAACATCATTTCTGGCCAACGATTTCCCTCAGGCCCCAAACCAGAGGACTGGGGGGTTCATTATTTCACACTGCTGCTTGTGGCTTCTCACAGGTCTGTCACTCAGAGGGGGCATCTCCCAGCAGTCCGAAATACCGCCGCTCTCGCCGTGTTCACCCGTGTTTCCCTCTCCCCTAGGAGTTCCTGAGGGTGTGAAGGATCTCCCTCCAGGCGTCGCCCTCCCCCTGGAATCCAACCTGGGCTACCTGAACGGTGTCAGCTTCACCAAGGGCTGTTACATCGGGCAGGAGCTGACGGCCAGGACCCACCACATGGGCGTCGTCCGCAAGCGGCTGCTGCCGGTGGAGCTCGGGGCTCCCCTCCCCCGGGAGCCCATTCCCCAGGGCACCCACATCTTCACCGAGGCAGGGAAAGCAGCTGGCAGGTTCCTGGCTGGAGGAGGTGAATTTGGGATAGCTCTGCTGAGGTTAGCTCACCTAAATGAGCCCCTCTGCCTGAGTGTAGAGGGTGAGGAGGTGAAGCTCGCTGCCAGGATACCCGAGTGGTGGCCAAAAAATTCTGGTAAATAAAAGAGGAGCCACCACTTCCACGTTTGCCTTATTGAGGATATATTGGGTGGGATAAATTTGGGATGGCCACGCTGCCTCGGGCTTGTTTCTGGTGTTTGATGGTGAGTGGGGATATTTCTGGGTTCTTTAAATCAGGACTAAGCAGCAGGAGCCCAGAGCAGCAGCGGGTCGCAGGGGATAATCTGCTGAGTGTCGTGGAGAGCACGTGCAGGGCAATGCCCCAGGTTTTGGGGTACCCTGGGTTTATTTAGGGGGGTGCCACGTGTTGTTGGGTTGGAACCCCGTGGAGTTTTCAACCTGCCAACCAGGAGTTTCCCCCATTGTCTGTGCTGAGTGTTGCTGTTCAGAAGAACCAGTTTGTGGTACTATAATGTTGTTTTTTTGTAAAGGAGATCACGCTGCCCTTACCTTGCCTAAGATACATACTCAGACTAAAGCATCCACTACAAATTACTCCTTGCACTGAGCTGCTTCTTAAAGTTTCTGATTGGGTGGGTGTTTTTTTTTTTCCCCACCACTCTTCATGCTGATTGTGTTGAGGAGGAGAAATACCTCACACTCCACGTTTCAGACTTTGATTTTAAGAAGTCATCCCTGGTGGGAAGTCTCTGAGAAGCCAGTCCCCTCCTTGAGTGCTGGCAGCCAGCAGCAGCCAGCTCCTCTCTCTCCTTTCCTTCTCTCAGACAACTATTTCACAGAGAAAAGTGATATTTTTACAGAAATAAGGTGAGCTGGTGCGTGCCTTGGGGTGACTGTTGTGTTGGTGTGCTGGTGCTGGGCATAACAATCCCTTCCTGGGAGCGTGTGCCCTCCAGTTGCCAACAGGCTCTCAGAACGAGAGGTGATGTGAGAGAAGAGCAGGAGGGATCCCACAAAGGCCAAAAAAAAACCCCTCTCTTGCACGTGTGTCTGTGACAAAATCCGTCCAAAGCGCGTCCCGCCGATGTGTGGGTGCTACTGGGAAAGGAATTGAGCTGTGAAAAATGCTCACGTTGGCTAAAACTCTGTGCTCGCTGTAAAAATGACTTTGTGGAATATCTCATTAAAAGTTTGTGGTGTCAGTAATTTAACTGTGACTCATCTGAAAGAGGAGACGCTACTTTTTATTCACCTTGTGTGACTGTACTCAGCAGGAGACTTTTTCAGCTTGCTCTCTGGCAAGAAAAACGTTTTACACAGTCTGTCACCCCTTGGTCAGGTTTGAGGTTGCTAATGAAGCCTTTCTGCTGGAAAAAAAATAAACAAAACTCAACTTTTCACCCTTTTGGGATCCTCGGAGTGCCACAAAGGGGAGACTGTGCTGCCCGTGTTGGCGCCGCTTGGCCAGGAGCAGCTTTTTTCCTCTGGCACCCATTGTGCAAAAAGCCTCCTCAGAATGGTGACATTGTGCTGGTGTGTGTGCCCAGCCTGAATAAACACCCCGTGTCTTCTGCCAGGGGAAGCCCTGCGTCCCTTTTCCTGGCACAACCATGTTTCTTTTGTCTTCTTAACGTATTTGAAAGGCTTTTCTGTCGCCAACAGCTGCAGGTTACAAAGGAGGGCGTTCAAAATGCACACGCAGGTTGATTTTCAGATGTACTAGATTGCTTCTGGAGGAAAAATTGTGGCAGAAATTAGAGAGGGCAGCTCCTATCCATGTTATCACTTTAGTTTTTAATCTCCCTACAGCCTGCTCCAGCAGTAATGGCCTTAGGCTACTGGCTGTGTTGCTACAAGGTTGACTTTGGGGGGGTGTTTGCCTCGCATCACTGAGCAAATCCCTTTTGGCCAAGGTAGGACTGAGTGAGGAGCTCCACTGCTGACCAAAACCACCACAGAGCCAGCCAGAAAGGGCTGAATAACCTGTTTGGCACGTCAGCCAAAGGGCTGAAACCTCCTCGGCGGCACATTTTAATCACTGAATTCTTCAGGAAGAAGGAAATGCTGAGAAATAAAACGCTGGTGCCAGGCCCACACAGCCCCTCTGCCACCCTGGGTGGGAAATGAGCAGCTTTCGTGGGGTGAGGGTCAGGATCTCCTGCTTTCCTCAGCATGGGACAATGTGGGAGCTGTCAGGTAACCTGCTCAGGTGCTTGTCTCACACTAAATACTGCTGGAAAATGGGGGCCCCACTCACCGAGTGGCCAACCCCTTCCTGGTCCTCGTTTTCTGGGTGTCCCCCCTCACTGCCTCAGTTCCCAGGTCCTGCACTTGGGCCAGAACAATCCCCTGCAACGCTCCAGGCCTTGGGAAGAGTGGCTGGAAGGTGTCTGTTGGAAAAGGAGCTGGGAATGTTGGTTAACAGTTGGCAGGAGATGAGCCAGTGTG